ATCATTGACTCAATGGACATGAGTTTGAGTAAACTCCGGGAGTTGGTGATGGACAGGGAAGCCTGGCATGCTGCAATTCATGGGGTCGCAAAAGTCAGACACGACTGAGCGACTGAACTGAACTGAACTGATCAAGATTTTTTCATCTGTGCTTAGTTGAAATGTGTAGATGTGTAACCTGTGGATACAGAGAGCTGACTACATTTACTTTGTAAGAAATGCTAGATAACTTTCCTCTCATTTTGACATCATTTTCCACGCTTGAAAATCATTCAATTGAATAGTTATTAGTTACATTATAGGACTTGAAAGTTAAAAACTTAAAACATAAGTTATGACTTTACAAACAACTGTTTTAATTGTTCATTTCACAAAAGTACAAAATCACTTAACAGTACACGTTGAATGACAAAAAAAAAATATAAGTATCTTAAGAAGGATTTATTTAGTTGGGGTCAGAGAAATACATAGCCATTTTAAGAGCTGTATCATTTAATTTGTACTTCAAATGCATGCTACTTTACAGTTTAGAGCATAAAATATGCATCTGTGCTAATTAGATGTAATGCATATTTGAGATTTTCTGGTAAAAGCACTGCATGGTAAAGTATTTGGAGGGTAATGGTAGCTTTCAGAAAAAAAAGTGAAAGTCGCTCAGTCTGGTCCAGTTCTTTGTGACCCCATGGATTATACAGTCCATGGAATTCTCCAGGCCAGAATAATGGAGTGGGTAGCCTTTCCCTTCTCCAGGGGACCTTCCCAACCCAGGGATCGAACCCAGGTCTCCCACATGTGCAGCAGCACCCATAGGCAGCCTCCCAGGTGGTGCTACTGGTAAAGATCCTGCCTGCCAGTGCAGAAGACATGAGATGTGGGTTTGATCCCTGGGTCAGAAAAATCCCCTGGAGAAGGAAATGGCAACCCACGCCAGTATTCTTGCCTGGAGAATCTCATGGACAGAGGAGGCTGGAGGGCTACAGTCCATAGGGTTGCAAAGAGTGAGATATGACTTAAGCAACTTAGCACACATATGCACTTAGGCAACTTCTCCTATTAATTAAACCTGTTTTTTTGTTCATTTGTTTGTTTTTGCTGCACAGCTTGTGGTATCTTTGTTCACCAACTGGGGATCAAACAGAAGCTCCAGCAGTAGAAGTGCAGAATCCTAACCACTAGACCGCCAGGGAATTCCCAAGCCATCTTTATCGCTAACTTCAGAAGGTTGGTCAATTGACAAAAGGAGATGAGAAATGAATTTTCATTGGTGAAATCACTGGTGCTGGGACATGGAGACTGGTTTAAAGGAGTTGTCCCTTAAGCCTCACCCAGTATCTTGTGTTAGCCACTTTTGGGAGAGTCTCAGAGTCTCACCCTTCATCTCAGAGTAACTGAATTCTACTGCTAGAAAATAGTCACATTTTCCTGAACTGGCTATTTCCTGCAAAATAATTTCAGGATATACAAAAGGACGGAGAGCTGAGTCTTTCCCTTCCTACAAAAGAAGCCAATGCTAGTTTGCTGACAAATATTTGTACACATAGCAGAATTCAGCCTGAGATCCACTTTCATTGTGAAACGTTACCTGGTAGCCAGGAGGTGGGGAGACCTGGAGCTCTGATTCATTTCCAACTTGTCTCATCAACCAAAGGAAGCAAATATTTGTCAATGATAAATTGGTGCATTCACAGCAACTCTATAAACAAAGAAACTTTAGATTAATGGCTAAGAAGGACTGCAGGGAGTATTTGGTAACAAAACACTTAGCCTGAGCATATCAGGGGTGAAGAATTCACAGTGGGCTGCAGTGCTCTTGTGTAACCAGTTGCACAAGACTCAGATGTTATTAATTATTAACCTGCTGAATCACTGGGAAAGCATTAGTCACTTGAACTGCAGGCATTTCAAAGGGCTGCCTCCCTCCTGAAGTTGACCATAGACTCATTGGTCCTTGTTTAGAGTTGCCAAGGCAAATGCTTATCGCCAAGTCATAATAACATTAAAACATCTGCTCCATGTCCTCATTCCTCACCTAGAGGCTATCAGAATGCTACCAGTTCTACAGATTTCACAGGAAGTCATTCAGAGAGGCTGCCTTTGAAATTTACCGTTATCATTTTCCCTCCACACACAAAACAAACTTCTGAAAGACAATTAAAACCTTGAGCTTTTTTCGCAGCACTTAATGTTTTGCTTGACTGATTTTATAGACACCTTTTATTATGCTCCACTCTTTCATCTCACCCATCTGCTCCAAGAAAACATACTTCCTTCTCTTAAGGGGAACACCCATGTTCCCTAGGACATTTTTCTTTAATTAGAGGAAAACAAGATTATGGTTTTACCACTGAAGTTTTCAAATCAGGTCTTCTACATAAATGTTTAACATAAAAGTAACAACTCTGTACATAAAATTCTACCTCTGGATGAAATGTACAATACAATATTAAGTTAGACCTTAATACTGGTGTAGTATTTGCCAATTTGCAGTCTCTATACACACACACACACACACACACACACACACACACACACACACGGTGTTATCTGTTTCTCATCAAAACGATATTATGCTGGGGAGAGGGATAAATTAGGAGTTTGGAATTAACACACTACCATACAGGTAATCAACAAGGACCTACAGTATAACTCAGGGAACCCTACTTGATATTCTGAAACCTAAATAGGAAAAAATTTGGAAAAAGAATAGGACAATATATAAACGTGTAACTGACTCTCTTTGCTGTACGCCTGAAACTAATACAACACTGTAAATCAACTATACTCCAATGTAAGATAAAAACTAAAACAAACATAAAAAAATTAAATAAAAACTAAACCCACATGAGGCACCATTGCTTTCGTGAAGTGGCCAAGATGGCGCACACGTGCTGCGTCCTGGAGGGGGAGTCTGTGAGCCTAGCCGGGTTAGGCGTCTTCCCCCGGGGGAATGAGGCCCACTCCGGCCCTCAGGGGTTGCTGACGGTGTTGAAGCCTCTGGGTCTGTGCAAAGGATTCACCCCTGAGAGACGGAGGAAGTCAGAACTCCCCAGCTTTTGGACCCCGACCCAGTCGGCAGCTTTCCCAGACCGCGCGCTGCGGCCCTGACCCCCACGGCCAACTGGCGAAGCGTCCGGCGCCTACCGGCACTTTGGGGAGTGTGACAAGCCCTGCGAGCTCGCCACTACGTGATCACACTGCTGGGAGGACCCACAGAGCTCACGCGAGACCCGAGCAGGGCAGCACGTAGCACGTAGGCGACGCTTGACGCAGAGAGGCTCCAGGCTAGTGGCCCCAGCTGTTCTGGAAAACTCCGCCTGGTACCGGAAGCAGCGCCTGGTGGATTTACTAGCAGCAGGGAGCGGCCACTTCCTCATGAACACGCACCTTGACAGATGGAGCATGCTGACTCGCCTCGAGAGCCCCAAAGGCAGGAGGTTGGCAGTTTTTATACCAGGTGCTCCAGGCCTCTGATTTCTCCTCCCTGTTCCTGCGTTATGGATGTCGGGTCTAGCTGGGTGGATATGATCAGATGGGAAGGACCATATCTGGGTCCAAGTTCATCTGCAAGTTGAGTGGCGAAGATGTATTTGGAATCTCTGTTCCTCTAATTACAACTGAAGCAAAACTGGAAAAGTCCGCTGACAATGCTGTTTGGCTGAACAGAGGTAAGACATCTCCATTTAAATGGTATTAATTTTTTTTCAAGCAGTAGAATAATTGGGTAGTACGTCCCTGAAGCCCTTCACTTTTTTGACCCTTGCAGAGGTTGACCACATAATGCAGCTGTATGTGAAAGGGCCAAAAAAGCAAGGTCCTCAGAGACAAATTGCTGCAGAAGTCAGAAAACTTGTTTTTTGGACAAGGACTCTGGACTCTGCTCAAAGGTGCACACAAGCCTTTTAGCAGTATAGATGCACTGGAAGTCATGTCTGACCTAGAGTTAAAAGAGTTTTGAAAGTTTCTGAATTCTTCATTGTGGAATGAGCATCACAGATTTGCCGCAAAGCAAATGCCATTTCTGATGATTCATGAGGGTATGAGATGGTCACAGGAGGCGGAGTCAGTGTATATCACAGTAACAAATGCTGAGAGTTGGTTTTGGTTGTTGGACTATGTATCCTTAAGAATGGCCTTTCCTTACTTAAAATGGGGAAAAAAAAATTTCCACATGATACAATGGCTTCAGCTATGATGAAAAATCCTTCTGGTGGTTCACGTTTATCCGTCATTCATTCTCAAGACATGGGAACTTATACCTTGGCTTATGGAAATCCAAAACAGTATGGAGTATACTCGAGGCCTGACAGTGTGAGTTACTTCATTATTTATATAGGTTGGGTATGTTTGTATAATAGTGTGCTATTTTATTTCCTAATCCTTGAACATTGAGGACTACAGTAGAAAAGCATGATTTCCAGGGTTAATCTCTTTCAATAATAGTTTTTTCGTGAAAAACTAAATGCTGCCTTTCCCATTCTGTTCCCTCTTTTAAAGATGAGGAAGAACAGTGAAAAAGAAGTATAATATGGAATTGTAGATACTTTTTTTAATTTATTTTTTATTGAAGGATAATTGCTTTATAGAATTTTGCTTTTTTGTCAAACCTCAACATTAATCAGCTATAGGTATACATATATCCCCTCCCTTTTGAAACTCCCTCATATCTCCCTCCCCATCCCACTCCTCTAGGTTGGGACCCCTGTTTGAGTTTCCTGAGGCATACAGCAAATTCCTGTTGGCTATCTATTTTGCATATGATAGTATAAGTTTCCATGTTANGTTAATAGCACCCCTGCCCTATTTTCCTCTGAGGATCAAGTGAAACACAAACATATACACAAAGTGACTTAGAACCAGATTTGTTCTAGAAAATCTTACAGGCAGCAAAGCATGGCTTTAGAGTTCAAATTCTAGCCATTATTTATTTTTTTTTTTTACCTTGATTACTTGGAGCAAGTCATTATCTCCATATGCAAAAATGGAGATGAAAAAATATCTCAATTACTAAAATCTACAAGGAAAATAGTTATAAAACTTGCATATAGTATAAGCTGTTTTGCTATGTTCCAAAGTAGATTCATGTAAAAGCTGTAGTTTATATCTTCTGGGAGTAAAGTTACAAACAATTCCTTTATTGACAGACTCTAATGTCACTTCATACTAGCAATTTTATTTACATCATAAAAACATACAGGCATATATTATAAATGTCAGAGATCATCTCTACATTTCAGAACTTCACTCAGTTTAAGGGCCAACAAAAGGTGGTTTTCACTTGTTGAAAGTCATCTGTGTTATTTCCAGCTCGGGACTTATTGTGAGCAAATCTACTATAAACATTCTTTATCATTTTTTGGTGTGAACAAGTATCTTCATTTTTCTGGGATAAAATGTCTAGGGATTGAATTGCTCAGTTATATGATCTCTGTATGTTTAATTATTTAAGAAACTGCCAAGATTTCCAAAGTGGCCACACCATTTTCTGTCTTACCAGTAACGTGAGTGACCCAGTTTCTCTACAGTCTCACCAGGATTTAGTGTTGTCCTTATTTTTTATTTAACCACACTCATAGGTATACAGTGATAGCTCCTTGTGGCTTTAATTTAATTCTCCAATAAATATTGATATTGGACATCTTTTATGGGCTTATTTGCCACCTAAACATTTTCCTTCCTAAAATGTCTTCTCATGTTGTTGGCCTATATCCTCTGATTGCTTTGTATTTTGAATTTTGCAGATTCTTTTTGTATTCTAGACACTAGTCCGTTATCACATGTGTGGAATGTAAAATTTTTACTTACCCATAACTTGTCTTTTCATCTTCTTAAAGCATCTTTCACAGAACAAAGATTTTTGTTTTGATGAAATCTAATGTATCAGTTTTTTCTTTTTTACTTTATCAAAACTAAGAACTTTAATCTACAGCTAGCTCTCAAGGATTTTTCCTTCTCTGTTTACTTTTCTAAAGTTCTTGTAGTTTTATGTTCTACATTTAAGTCTCTGATTCATTTTTAGTTAATTTTCTTATAAGAGAGTTCCAGCTGAGCCACCAGGGGAAACCCAAGAATACTAGAGTGGGTATTCTGTTCCTTCTCTATTGGATCTTCCTGCCCCAGGAATCATACCGGGGTCTCCTGCATTGCAGGCGGATCCTTTTACCATCTGAGCTACCAGGGAAGCCCTCTAAGAGAGTTAGGTCAAAGTTCCGTTTTGTTTTTGTTTTCTGCATATGAAGTCCAAACACTCTGGCACCGTTTGTTGAAAAGGCTCCAGTTCCCTTTGCCCAGGAACCCTGTGCTTCATCTCGATTTATCTTGTGCCTTCTTAGCAAGATGTGTCCTGAGGTAATTGCCTCTTTTCTTCACACCGTTTCAGCCTATAAACATTTCATAGGAACGATCTGCTTTCAGAGAACAGGGGAAATCTGTGGATAAAATTCCACAAGTGAGCAAAGTATAAAATTGGAGAACAGATGAGTGATTGCCAGGTGTTAAGGAGGGTGGAAGGCAGTAGGGAATGGATGTGGCCAGTAAGAGGCAACATTTGGGGACCTGGTGGTGGTAGAAATGTTCTGCATCTTCTGCATGAAAGTCAGTGTCATAGTTGAGATACTGTATATATTTGAACTGCTATAGATTTGAATGTTACCAGTTCAGTGGAAAATTGGAAAATTGGGTTTGAAATATATGGAACCTGTCTGCTCTATTTCTTATATCTGCATGTGGATCTATAATTACCTTAAAAGTTTGATTAAAAATCATGTCTATCTAGAGTTCCATGAGAATCAAATGTGATCACGTCTATGAAGGCTCTTTATAACATATATATGTATGTATTTGTGTGACGGTGGTGGTGCTTCGGTCACTAAGTCATGTCCAACTTCTGCGACCCTGTGGACTGTAGCCCTCCAGGCTCTTCTCTCCATGGAATTTCCCAGAAAGAATACTGCAGTGGGTTACCACTCTCTTCTCCAGGGGATCTTGCCCATCCAGGGGTCAAACCCATGTCTCCTGCATTGCTGGAGCCACCGGGGAAGCCCATATGCGTGTGTGTCTATAAAATTTAACATCAAAATAACACACGTGTTAAGCATTTCTTTGCAGGCATATGAATGTGACATTTTTTCAGTCTGTTGCATTCAGTGCATTTTCAAGCATTTAACTTTCAGGTTCTTATGTGTATATGAAATGAAAAATAGCCAATGAGCCTGCAGGTCTAATTCTAATGAAAATGAGAGATAGATAAGCTCACTCCTGTGTTTACACACACAGCGTGCTTTTTAGTGTTCAAGGATGCTGCTGCCAACAGTGTAACAAACAGTGATGCACCAGTGGTCCTGGGCAACCGATTTAACTTCTCTGAATGTTATTTCCAAATCTTGAGGAGATATTTTCCCTGGCTTAGATCAGTTCAGTTCAGTTCAGTCGCTCAGTCGTGTCCGACTTTTGCGACCCCATGAACTGCAGCATGCCAGGCCTCCCTGTCCATCATCAACACCCAGAGCCTACCCAGACTCATGTCCATTGAGTCAGTGATGCCATCCAACCATCTCATCTTCTGTCATCCCCTTCTCCTCCTTCCCTCAGTCTTTCCCAGCATCAGGGTCCTTTCAAATGAGTTAGCCCTTCACATCAGGTGGCCAAAGTATTGGACTTTCAGCTTCAACATCAGTTCTTCCAATGAACACCCAGGACTTATCTCCTTTAAAATGGACTGGTTGGATCTCCTTGCAGTCCAAGGGACTATCAAGAGTCTTCTCCAACACCACAGTTCAAAAGCATCAATTCTTCGGTGCTCAGCTTTCTTCACCATCCTACTCTCACATCCATACATGACCACTGGAAAAACCATAGCCTTGACTAGACAGACCTTTGTTGGGAAAGTAATGTCTCTGCTTTTTAATATGCTGTCTAGGTTGGTCATAATTTTCCTTCCAAGGAGTAAGCGTCTTTTAATTTCATGGCTGCAATCACCATCTGCAGTGATTTTGGAGCCC